AAAGGAAAGCTGCAGAGCAAGACATAGTGTGTGTCTAGCAGTGGCCATGAGAGAGGGGTCCTTGATCGTTCAACAGAAGTCCTGAGTTGTGCTAGGAAGGTGTGTAACTACAGCAGAGAAGTAGAACTCATTAGATTGCCATAGCTTGGTGACTATCCTTTGAAACCATCTAACAACTCTTGCCTTTATTTCCATATTCTTCAAACAAACTTTGGACTTTAATTTGGTTTTACAAGTCATCTTTTCGTTTGGCAGAGAATGCGCTGGCTGTCTGGCAGTTTCATTTCTCAGGATAAATCAATCAATTGGCTTCCCATTTAATCAGTTAGTTTTCTGTAAATTTGGTTAGCATGAGTCAGTCCCCTGAAGCCTGATCGCCTCTGTGTGAATGCCATAAAAATCAACTTTCTGAATTTATTAAGCTGAAGACCAGACACTGGCACTCATCATGACCCCAGTAATGTGGCCCAGCCTAAAGCAACTGCGTCTGCTTTCCCCACAGATTTACCTTAATCCTGTTCTCCTAAGAATGTGTCAGAAAGAGAATGAGACTCAACTCTTTACAAATGGCCTGTCATTTAAACAATAAAATCCTGTTGGCATCAGATTATTTATTCTAATGCAAATACGACATGTGGTACAAAAGAACAATGTGTTTTGGCAAATATTTTGGTGAAGTTTACACATCTCATTTCCTCAAAAACACTTGATAGGGCAGCAAGGTATGTTGGCTGGCTTTATTTCAGAAAAGTAAAGCCCAGGGGGCTCAGAGAATTAGTGTGGTGATAGGTTAGAATTCTCAGTCCACAAATACCTGGACCCATGTTCCTAAAATAAATGTTTCTGGTTTGGAGCATAACGTGAGAACTAGCTTGAGTCCCACAAAATGTCAGAATCTGCGTGAATAGATACTGGGATGTTTTTAGATTTTAAAATCTACAGTGCTGTGATTAGGACCTATTGCCTTCCTCCCTTATAAAGGGCCTTTGTTCTTTGTCTGAGAGTCAAAATTTAAAAAGTTAGCAGACCTAGCCATCTCCGTTTCTTGTAGTAACAGGGAAAACTGATTATCTCAATCTCTGTCTCTTAACCTCCTTTGTATGTGAGCATGCGCGCACATGCAAATGTGTGTGTGTGTTTGCGCATGTGTAGCAGCATGGATTAAGGATGAAATTATGAGGAAAAACAGAAGCAAAGTAAAGCAATAATGCTGGGGCCAACATAAGACTGAGTAGTGAGGAAAAAACAGAAAGGAAACATTTATGATTCTTTCCCAAATGTTCATCAGTTAGTGATGAAATTCAGGTGAAAGAAGAGCTATAAAAAATGCTACTGGGTTTGGGTTTGTTTAAGCAAAATAAGCATTAAAGGTAATAGCTAGAAAAGAGGTTATCAAACTATGGCCTGCAGGGCACATTCAGCTCATTGCTAGATTTTGAATGCAACAAACTAGAATGATTTTGACATTTTTAAATGGTAGAAATAAATAAAAGGAAGAATTAGATTTCATGACACTTGAAAATTATATTAAATTTAAATATTAGTGTCCATATGCAAAATTTTATTGGAACATAGCCACATCCTTTCATTTACATTTTGTCTATAGCTGCTTTCAATCCACAAGAGCAGAGTAATTGCAACAGAGGCCATATGGCCCATAAAACCATAAATATTTAATATCTGGCACTTTATAGAAAAAAATGACAATTCCTCAGCTAGAACAATGAATTAATATTTGGTTTTTATTAAATGGCAACTGTTTATCAGCTCACATTAAGCCCAAACCTCAAGTGATTTGGAGAAGGATAAATTGATATTTAAATATCTTTTCTACTAATGTATTCCTCAATAAAAATCTTCACCAGTAGATTTAACAACAAATATTTACTCAGAAACTCTTATTGTCTCTATTTCCGAGGAACTCAGCAGTGAATGCCAGATAGTACTTTAGAAGTCAAAATCTAGAACTCAATATATCATTTGGTGCTCTAGTTTTTTGCTCTATCTATTGATGTGATTATTAAATATCCATCTGGGGCACAGCTGAGCAAGAGGAAGAGTAATAGCCTATTATGATATCGAATCCACAATCAGAGAATAGGGAAATGTTTTGGGATATTAAAATATGACTGTCAAAATTAAAAATTTAGCAGAATGGCTAAATGATGAAATGGGTGCAGTTTTAAAAGAAAGCAGTTATTGGTAAGTTAGGTGGAGGAAATCTCCTAAAGTATAAAACCAAAAGACAGATGAAAGGGATACGATAAAAAATGAAGAAGATAAACCTAGCTCCATGAGGATTGCAGTGATCAGGCTCTTTTTATCTTTTTGGTGCCACTATTCTCCAGGTATGACTTCTAGCCACAATTTACCTAGGAACCCAAGGTAGCTGCTGGGGCTCCAGCTATCTTGTCGATGTTCCAAGTAGCCAAATGAAGAAAGTAGGTAGAAGAGTAGAGTGGAAAACTTTTCCAGTTCTCTCTAAGGAAGTCGTGCATTTTTAAAAATTCCATTGATTATGTGGCCACATTTGCATAAAGATTGAAAATTTTGTAGTTACTCCAGACAGCAGTTTATTCTGTTAAAAATTGAGGTTTAGTTACTGAGGAAAAAAGGAAACTGGATATGGGATAGGTAATTAGCAGTCTCTTCAATAAATCTTATTCTAAGGCAAACTGACATTCAAACAGGAGGGAAAATACATAGTAGTAAGTTTTATCATTCACGGACCCTTGCTGAAATACTCATGGGTATACTAAAATTAGAGAGTAATATAATAAAGAGAAAGGCATGGCACACATGAAATCAGTGGTATGTTGGTAAATGTTTAACAGTTGACTTGGGAGGAAAAGACCTTGATTTGCATTGCAGAAATCACTCCTACCATGACTAATATCAACCTACCAACATGATGTCACTGAACAGAGTTAGAAATAGTTGCTGAGCCATTGTTAGTTGGCTCCAGCATACTACTGTGGGAAACAATGACAGACAGTAAAAGAAAAAGGTAAAAACTTCCCTTAGCTGTGTGTAATTGCCAATGCTTAAGGCAAAAAGTAATTGATAAGAGTCTAGAATTGAAATCTTAGTTGATCACCTTGAGAGAGGAGGTGAAGGGACAGTGAGGCCAGAAGGGCTAGTGATAACATGCTAAAGATCTTTTCTTGTTTGAAGAAGAGAGACAGAGGTCTACTAAGTCTAGGTTTTTAAAGAATAACATAAGGTTAGGTGGTAAAAATTTTAAAGTGACTACTAGAAAAATAGAAATATTATGCCTAACTTCCAAATCCAGAGGCAGAGAAAAGGAACAAGGAAAACCAATCAATGCAGCTGTAGAACACACTCATCATTCTTTTTGGATGCCTATGGGAAATTACCTCACCTAAAGAGTCTGAACCTTTTTGATGTAGAAGCCAGAAATTTGCTTTCCCAGCCTCTCTTGCAGCTAGGGCACAGGTACACAACCTACATCCAATCAGATGCATCCACATGACATTTTGATTTGTAAGAAGGAGGCCCCATGCAGACATTCTTGCAAGTGTGGTGGTTTATGCACTGGTTTTGTCAAAGGGAATAGTAAGTAGTAGATGGTGTGTACCCAGCACTCAGCAGGAGCAGAAGGTCCTCTACTAAATGAGTTCAGTAATGACATTTAAATGTCATTACTGACTACGTAGATGCCAAGCTTGTTTCCCTGATCTTTTTAGAGATTATGTGATCGATATGACATACTTAAATAATTTCATTCATTATTGTTGTTTTAAACTAGCTAAAATGATCTTTTCTTTTTTTGTAACCCAAAGTCCTGATTGATACAGCAATAAAAAGGCTGCAAAGGAGAACAAAAAAAGAAATAAAAGGAATTATAAAGAGATCATAAGATGGGAGGGATAAGTCTAAATATATCAATAATTCCAATAAATGTGAGCAAATTAAATTCCACTAATATTTGCAGATTGTGTTAAAATATTAGCATATGCAGTTTATAAATGACACATACCTAAAAGGAAAGGATGAAGTTTGATGATTAAGACTTGGGGAAAAACAAGACAAATTCTACTTGGAATTGAATGCAAATAAAGGAACTTCATAGTAAATCTTTGGTAGGTGGCTAAAACAGTACAGAATAAAATTAACGTTCTTTATGCCTATTAAAAAATCCTGAAAATTAATGGACTAAGTATCCAACTCAAGATACTAGGAGAAAATGGTAAAATGCACTCAAGGAAAGTAGATGGAAGGAATTAATAATAATGAATGCTAGGATTATTAAAATGGAAAATAAATGAAATTAGACCTGTCCCCCAAAACCAAAGGGTAATTATTTATTTATTTATTTATTTTGAGACAGAGTCTCGTATGTCACCCTCAGTAGAGTGCCATGTTGTCACAGCTCACAGTAACCTCAAACTCCTGGGCTTAAGTGATTCTCTTGCCTCAGCCTCCCAAGTAGCTGGGACTATAGGCATCCACCACAACGCCTGGCTATTTCTTTTTTGTTGTAGTTGTCATTGTTGTTTGGCAGGCCTGGGCTGGGTTTGAACCCTCCATCTCTGGTGTATGTGGCTGGTGCCCTAACAGCTGAGCTACAGGGGCCGAGCTACCAAAGGGTAATTTTTTTTTTTTTAGGACACATTAAAATTTGCTTTAATACTTATTTGGGGGGGGGGAAATCACACTTTTAGTGAATGAACAAAAAACATTTTTACAGTAGCAGTAGGCTATTATTCTTATCCATCATGCCGTGAATTCATAGGGAAGAGGTTCCAGTAGCTCAGGGAGGCACTTTGCCATTGAATGTGACAAAGCATTGATTGACTTTTGAATTCATGGGAAATACGTTCCAGCATCTTGTATCATCACTGTTACATGGGGTCTATTGGTTATCCTGTGTGCTATGGTGTACACCTATTATGCCATGAGCTCATGGGGAATAAATAGGTTCTTGCACCTAAAAACATGGGTCCACTGATACGCCTATGTACTATGTTATATCCTTATTATGCCATGAATTCATAGGGAATGGGTTCTAGGAGCTCAGGCTCCTTTCCGTTGGTTCTCACAAAGTGGGCTTCTCTGGGTGGAGCAGGCTGGCGCTTCAGTTGAACCCAGGTACCTTTCTCTTTGGCTTCCTTCTTTTTCTGATCATTTTCCTTCACATGTTTCAGGAAGCTGTCTCGGCTCTTAGAGTGTTTAATATGCTCAATACAAACATTAATCCTCTTGGCAAGAATCTTGCCCTTAACTTGTTTGTTTACAACAATGCCAACAGCATGCTGGGTAACATTATAGACTCTTCCAGTTTTGCCAGGGTAACATTTGTGTGGCATGCCTTTTGGAACAGTACCCATTCCGTTGATGTCTACAATATCACCTTTCTTTATTATTATTACTGTTATTATTATTTTTTTAATTAAATGATAGCTGTGTACATTAATGCAATCATGGGGTACAGTGTGGTGTTTTCATATACAATTTGAAATATTTTCATCAAACTGCTTAACATAGCCTTCATGTCATTTTCTTAGTTATTAAGACATTCATACCCTGCTTTTAGAAAGATTCACTTGTACCCTTATAAGATAAACCATAGAAGTGACCCCAACAATCACCCTCTCTCCACCCATCCACTCACCTCTCCTCCCCTCTCCCTCCCCCCTGCCCGTATTTTAAGGCTATAATTAGGTTATGACATTCCTATGAAAGCTATAAATTAGTTTAAAAATAGGGCTGTGTACATTGGATACTTTTTCTTCCATTCTTGAGATACTTTAATAAGAACATTTTCTAGCTCCATCCATGTAAACATGAAGGAGAAGTCTCCATCTTTCTTTAGGGCTGTATAGTATTCCATGGCGTACATATACCATAGTTTATTGATCCATTCGTGGATTGATGGGCACTTGGGCTTCTTCCATGACCTAGCAATTATGAATTGGGCTGCAATAAACATTCTGATACAAATATCTTTGTTGTAATTCAATTTTTGGTCTTCTGGATATATACCTAGTAGAGGAATTATGGGATCAAATGGCAGGTCTATTTTTAGTTCTCTGAGTGTTCTCCAGATGTCTTTCCAAAAGGAACGAATTAGTCTGCATTCCCACCAGCAGTGTAGAAGTGAACCTTTTTCTCCACATCCACGCCCACATGTCTGGTTTGGGGATTTTGTGATATGGGCTAATCTTACTGGAGTTAGGTGATATCTCAAAGTAGTTTTGATTTGCATTTCTCTGACGATTAAGGATGGTGAACGTTTTTTCATATGTCTCCAGGCTATGTGCCTATTTTCTTTAGAGAAGTTTCTTTTCAAGTCCCTTGCCCACCCGGAGATGGGATCACTTGTTTTTTTCTTGCTAGTACATTTGAGTTCTCTATGGATTCTAGTTATTAAACCTTTGTTGGAGACATAACCTGAAAATGTCTTTTCCCATTCTGAGGGCTGTCTACTTGCTTTACTTAACTCTGTTCTTGGCTTTGCAGAAGCTTTTTAGTTTGATCAGGTCCCAATAGTGTATTTTTGACATTGCTTCAATTGCCCAAGGGGTCCTCCTCATAAAATTTTCGCACAGGCTGATTTCTTCAAGCGTTTTCCCTACACTTTCTTCTAGTATTTTTATAGTTTCATGTCTTTAGTTTAAATCTTTAATCCAGTGAGAATCTGTCTTAGTTAATGGTGAAAGGTATTGGTCTAATTTCAGTCTTCTACAGGTCACCAACCAGTTAGCCCAGCACCATTTGTTAAATAGGGACTCTTTTCCCCACTCAAGGTTTTTAATTGGCTTGTCAAAGATCAGGTAATGGTAGGTAGCTGGATTCATCTCTTGGCTCTCTATTCTGTTCCATACATCTACCTCTCTGTTTTTGCGCCAGTACCATGCTGTTTTGATCACTATGGATTTATAGTATAATATCACCTTTCTTGTAGATTTGCATATATGTGGCCAAAGGAACAACAACATGTTTTCTAAAAGGCCTAGAGAACATGTATCGGGTGCTTCTGCTTTTTCCCTTTGTGTTTGTCATTTTGGTGAATTACTGGAAGATGGCATCTCCGTGGTAATTCTTTTAAGAAGAGGAACAAAATAAAAATTGAGAAGGCTTTTGCAAATCTAATTAAGAATAAAAAGAGATTCACATAAACATCCTTTGGAAGGAGGGCACAGTGGATATAGTAGTAGTGTTGAAGCATTTTTAGAGACCTGAGAATACTTTTTTTTTGTTTTTTTTTGAAATAGAATCTCAAGCTGTCACCCTGGGTAGAGTGCCATGGCACCATAGCTCACAGCAACCTCCAACTCTTGGGCTCAAGCAATCCTCTTGCCTCAGATTTTCTATTTGTAGTAGAGATGGGGGTCTTGATTTTGCTCAGGCTGGTCTCAAACTCATGAGCTCAAGCTATCCACCCACCTCGGCCTCCCAGAATGTTAGGATTACAGGCATGAGCCACCTCACCTGGCCTGAGAATACTTTTTTGCATAGTTTGGAGTTTTGAAATCATGTTAATGTTTTCCATATTTCAAAAGTGAAGTCAAGTCCATAAAGATGAGCAAATCAGTAAAACTGAATACCAGTGGAGACAGATGGGCCTCGTTATATACCAAATTAGTAGTATCACCAACTCAGAGAAAAAAAAAATAATCCAGGTAAATTTTAGGTAAATGTACACCCTGAAAACTAAAGCTAAGAAGAACTGTAAACAAATCTCAAACTTTTCTTAGCAGGTTTTTCTTGGTAGAGGTGTCAGCTTAGCAATTCTGAAACTGTGTTGTGTGTATTTGTAGGCTAGTGCAGATGAGTGATTATATTACTATTGTTAGAAGCCAGTGTTATCACTGTGGGAGAAGAAAGGTTTTGCAATGAGACAATAGGAAGAACCCTGTGGTGTTGGATTGGAATTAGAGATATCAATACAAACTCGTCACTAACTCTGTTCACTGAAAGGGCCCGGAAGTAGTAATCTTCCAGTAGCAATGAGCATAGTTAGTGCCAAAATCTTTTGTTTTCTTTTTTTTTAATTCATAAAGAAAAAAGGTTTATTTGGCTCATACTTCTGGAGGCTGGGAAATTCACAAGCATCTGGTGAAGGCCTGTCTTGCTGCGTCATAACATGGCCGAGGGTATTACATGGTGAAAGGGCGAGAGCATGCATAGCCAAGATCTTGTGTTTCTAAACATCATTCTCCAATAAAAGGAACCAAGGCTTTTTGTAGGAACAGCTAGTGCTAGAGTGAGGGAAGGTAAGTATAAGACAAACTGGGAGCACCTCACTGTGCCCAAAAAGTAAGGCAGTGAGCAAAAACCAGATGGGACATCTCAAAAGGACATAAGAGCAAGCTTGAAGGATTTCTATAACTGAACTAGGGGCAAATTTACCATCAAAATGAAATCATGAAAGTAATACATGTAGGACATCACATAAAATAGAATTCTCAAGCCCAAATTGACACTAAAAACTCAAATCAGAAAAAATAATTTATCAATACATTAAAAAAAGGAATGATAAGCAGAACGCCTTTGCAAGAGATTTCCCAGGCTCAGCACCTGTAGCTCAAGCATCTAGGGTGCCAGCCACATACACCAGAGCTGGTGGGTTCGAATTCAGCCTGGGCCCGCCAAACAACAATGACAACTACAACCAAAAAATAGCCGGGCATTGTGGTGGGCACCTGTAGTCCCAGCTACTTGGGAGGCTGAGGCAAGAGAATCACTAAAGTCCAAGAGTTGGAGGTTGCTGTGAGTGTGATGCCACAGCACTCTACCCAGGGGGACAGCTTGAGACTCTGTCTCGAGAGAGAGAGAGAGAGAGAGAGAGAGAGAGAGAGAGAGATTGCCCAGTAATAAATGGAGTGGGAATGAGAGGTTGAAACCAATATTTTGCAATTAATGTAGTGACAATGCATTTAGGTAAGGTGCCAAAACCACTGGGTGCAGGTTTGTTGAAAAGAATCAAAGTTATTTCCCCACAGATCACGTATAAATTTTAAAGAGGAAAAGGTACATTATGGTGAAGACTCCTGGTAGACACCACCCTAAACAGGTGATTAAAAAACATCTATAAAAATCAGGACAAACTGCCATCGCGTACCTTCTGCTGTGCCACGTTGTGCAAGGCATAGTGTTGCTTCTGTGTTATTGCTGCCCCAAATGCAGAAACAGAATACAGTCATTAAAAAAGCATCAGACAAAGACAAACTGATGGCCATTGTATAATAGAGCTGATTTGTCCTCTTCAAACAAATGGCAAGATCATGAGAAATAAAAGCTGAGGAACCGTTGCTGGAGGTTAAAAAGGTAGGACAGCTATATTCAGCGCATAGTCCCAGATTGGACCCTGGGTTTGGAAAAAAAAAAATGTTAGAAAGGACTTAATTGGAATAATTGCTGAAAATTGAATTTGGAATGTACATCAGGTAATAGCATTTTATTGATGTTAAAGGTTCTGAATTTCATCGTCTTATTGTGGCTATGTGAGACAAATCCTTATTTTTAGTGGACGTATGCTGAGGTATTCAGTGGTGAAGGTTCATGAATCAGTGTGACTCACTCCTACATGGTTCAGGACAAACATAATATAGGTCTATATTTACGAAGAAATAAAGCAAATGGGAAAAATGTTACCCAATTATGTTTTCAAGACTGCTGGTTACCACCTAATGCCTATAAATTTGCCGATGTAGAGACAAGCTTCTAGGAAAGAATATTTTCAAAGTTTACTCCAGGAAGGCTTTACAATGGTAGTAGATCTATTACCACAGCAGAAATTTAGAAACCACATAATTCCTTTCTTATAGAAACCTTTGCAGAGCATAGAGAAGAAAAGGAAGTATAAATGCAGGTCTCGCCTCAGTGTAAGGAACCTCCAGAGGGATCTGCTTCATGTACAATGAAAAGACATCTCAAAGTCCCCAAAGACCACATGCTGGTGTGGATGTGGCCAGAAGGGACCACTTCCACCCTGCTGGTGGGACTGCAAACTAAGACAGCCTTGGAGAGAAGCATGGAATATCTTCAAAGATCTAAAAGTAGCCCTTCCATTTGCTCCTGCAATCCCATTACTAGGTATCTACCCAGAAGAACAAAATTCATTTTACCACAGACATTTGCACCAGAATGTTTATTGTGGCTCAATTCATAATTGCCAAGTTGTGCCCATCCAAATGCCCATCAACCCATGAAGGGATCAATAAACTGTGGTATATGTGTACCACGGAATACTACTATTCAGCTATAAAATTTGAATGGAAACTTTACATCTTTTACATTTACTTGGATGGAGTTGAAACACATTCTTCTTAGTAAAATACAGCAGGAATGGAAAAATAAATATCCAATGTACTCCATACAAATAAGAAATCAATATATAAACAATTACATGTTCATATGAAGAATAAAACACAAATATAGTCTAGTACAGGAGATGGGAGGGAGAAGGGGAGATGGAGGGGGACGTCTGGCAGCAGAAGGGAGGGCATGAGGCGGGATCTCACTTAATATGCACATTGTGAGGGTGTATAACACGCCCCCTGGGTAAGGGGCTCTTTTAAAAAACAGCAGCTTTACCCTGGAAGTGAGAACAATGTAACCTAAAAAAATCCATGCCCTCATATAAATTTGAATTAAAAAAAAAATGAAAAAGAAAACAATAAAAATGCTAAATAAAACATTTTAGAAAAAAGAAAAGACATCAGCATAATAGACTGGGAGTCAGTGGACCAGGTTGTGGCACTAACTCTGCCTCAGGGCAGTGGGGATTGGAGCAAGTCCCGAGTCTCCATTTCATCCTGTAAAATGCTAGCGCTTATAAATGGGGCTGGCGATGTTTGCCTTTCCCAGCTCACAGATCTGGAGTGAGAGGTGAATAAGCTAACACTGTGGGAAATGCAAAGCCCTGACGCATATAGGGGGCCCTAGGTGAGCACGCAGGGGAGTCCGTGTGTGTCTTAGAATTTGAACTGTGATTGTAATTCCTTTTTTTCTTTTGAATACCATATATTTCTTTTTAACAATTTACCCCTTACAACAAATGTTTTCTGTTAAAAATTGTGACATATTTGTCTAGTCTGTGAATTTGAAAAAGGCCAGTGGTGGCATATCCTAAATTTTTGTGTGTTCAACATTCACTCTGCCTTGAAAAAGTTTATGTAACCAAGAAATTGTCTCTTGAGGCAATTGGTGACTCGCGTGGATGTGTAAGTATATAATTACTCCTTAGCTTTAATGACAATTCCAAAAGCCTCTCCTGACTCGCCGGGACCAGGACAGGGCCCCCCTCAGAGCATTTTGGATTTATTTGTCTCATTGTCCATCTCCTCCCCACCAGACCAGACCTAAGTTAGAAGAGGGCAGCCACTAGATCTGCCCGGCTCTGCATTGCAGCCTCAGTGCTTACACAGTAGGCACTCAATACAGATTTGTTGAAAGACAGCTCTTAATGGAGAAAGATAAATGAATAAAAATCCTTGCTGGCAGGAGAGTTACCTTTTTCAACAAATATTTTTGAGCACGTACGATGTGCAGTGCCCTTTGTTGAACAACGTGGGGGCTGTAGAGAAATCATCTTTCGTTTCCAATAAACTATCCAGCTCCGGGGCTGAGTCATTGTGTCCTCTCGATGCTGGGAAGTGACTGTTTGCAGAGTCACTCTGCCACCTTTTGGCTATACCTAGGAATTGCACCTTTTCTGGCCTTTCCCCTTGCCCTGAGAGGCTGCGCAACTCAATTTGCTCTTGGGCAACTACAGATCCCACTATATGCCAGGCACAGTTCACTCTTTATATCAATCTCCAATGGAGTAGATACTTACATAATCGCCACCTTATAGATGACAAAAATGGAGGTACTCAGGTAGCAGCATTATTCGTTCATCCATTCCACAAACACTCATTGAGTGCACACCTCGTGCCAGGCTCTGTGCCAGGAGCTGGAGCTGTAGTGGTGGAAAAGTACACATAGCTCTTGCTCTCAAGGAGTTTACAGTCTGCTGTAGGGGAGAGAGAGGACAACAAACATGTAATTACACAAATAAT